AGGCTGACAAGGGCTAGACTTTGCAAAGTAAAAGAGAGGGGAGAATTGCACAAAGAAATAGCTCTGAAGATCTGCATATAAGTCCCCTGATCTTGGTGGCAGCATCAATCTTAGCAAAAGTGAAAGGAAATAACCCAAGGCATGGGAAAGAGCCACCAAAAAGTAGTGGAATGAACAATTTCTAGAGCTCACACAGAGCTAAAAAAAGTTTGTGTTTTCATTAGTCAGAATAGATTGGTTTTGTAATACACAGGGCATTGGATAGAGACTGAAGAGGAATAAGAATGTCTTATCAGTAGAACAAAATAAGTCCCAGAATAAAGGCTGCTCTGAATCCACCATAACAAAGGATAAAGGCAAGCCTCTAAAGAACTCTGTTAATTTATAATTTATTTATCTGTACACCAGAAGAACAGCCAACAATTTTTAAAGAAATACAACAAGAAACAGCACCTCTAAAATAGAAAATGCACAGTTTGGCATTCAAATAAAAATTAGTAGGAATGCAAAGAAAAAGGAAAATATGCCTATAGTCACTAGAAAAATTAATCAATGTAATAGTTCCAGAAATGATGGAAAGGAAAGAATTCAAAGAGAAGAACCTTAAAACAGTAATTATAAATCAAATAAACATACTCAAGGAGTTGAAGAAAAACGTCAACCTGATAAGGAGAGAAATGGAGGATATAAACAGACCCAAGTTGAATTCCAAAGATAAAAACACTCTTTATTAAATAAAAAATACTGTAGCAAGGAATAAGAATTACCAAAATAAAGTACTGAAAGGACAAAAAAAAAAAAATAACTGAAAAGCATTGAACAGAGCCTCAGTAAATCTTGAGGATAGCATCGAGCTATCTAATATACAGGAACTTAATTCTGGAAGGGTGGGTACTATAAAAAACAATGGCTGAAATTTTTCCAAAATGGGTGAAAAATATAAACCTATGAATCCAAGAACCTCAACAAACAACAAACAAAGAAAACATAAATGAAACCACACTAAGATATCTCATAATAAAATTGCTGAAGACAAGAGATAAAAAGTAAAATCTTGAAAGCATCCAGAACGGGGGGGGAAAAATCCACCTTAGGTACAGAGAACGACAGCAGAACTTTTTGTGTGAAATCCTACAGGGCAGGGAACAACAAAACATCACACTTAAAGAACTGAAAGAAAGAAAATCACCAATGAATTCTCTATCTAGTGAACATAAATTCCTAAAATTAAGGTTACAAAAAGATGTTTTCCAGAATGATAAAACATAAGAAAATTTTTTACCGGCAAGTATGTGGGTAAAAGTAAAAAAAAAAAAGCTTTTGTTTAAAGCAAAACTATTAACTCTGTACTACTGTAAGTTTTATAACAATTTAAAATGTATGACAATAGCACAAAGGCTAGGAAGACAGGAAAGGAAACAACCTGTTATAAGGATCTCAAACTATACATGCAGTGGTACAGTTTGAAGGTAGACTGTGATGAGTTAAAGGGGTATACTGTAAACTCTGCAAAAAACACTAAAATGATTAAATACTGGTCAGCAAATAAGCCAATAGTGAAGAAAAATAGAACCACACACGCAACATAATTAATCCTAAACATGAAAGGAAAAGAAGAAAAAAGAACAGATGGGATAATAAAAAAAAATGTCAGGTGGCAAATTTAAAGTCCACTATATCAAACACTACTATCAATGTAAATAGTATAAACATTCTAATAGAGATTGTGATTTAGAATAAAAAGCAAGACTTTCTGATATTTTGAATAATAAAAAATTTTAAAGAAAAAATATAGATTAATAATGAAAAGCAAGGAAAAAAAATTTTGTATAACATGCAAAAAATAAAGAGAAAGTTGGAGTGGTTAAATTTATATTAGACACAGTAGACTTCGAAACAGGGAATGAAACCAGGGGTGAAGAAGCTCATTTCATAACGACAAAGAGGTCAGTTAATCAAGCGGATATAACACAGAGCTGGCAGGAATGCAAATAGTACAGAAAAGTTAAAAGTTTCTTACAAAGTTAAATACATACTTAGCATATGGCCCAACAATCTCACTCTCACTCCTAGGTAAATTTGTAAAAGAAAGAAAAACAGATTTTGAAAAACGAAAATGTGTACACGGTATGTGACCATAACAGCACCTTTATTTACAATAGCCCCAAACTGAAAACAACCCAAATGTCCAGCTGGTGAATAAAAAAACTGTAGGATATCCAAACAATGGAATACTTATTCAGCAATAAAAAGAGACAAAATTCACACAGCACACAACACTATAAATGAATCTGCAAATAATAATACTAAGTGAAAGAAGCCAGGTACAAAACAGTACCTTATGATTCAATTCATTGCAATTTTATTTATTTTTTATTTTTTATTTTTTTGAGTTGGAGTCTCACTCTGTCGCCCAGACTGGAATGCAGTGGCATGCTCCCAGCCACTGCAGCCTCAACCTGCTGGGCTCCAGTGATCCTTCTGGCTCAGCCTTCCAAGTAGCAGGAACTACAGGCGCGCGCTACCACGCCCAACTAATTTTTTGATTTATTGTAGAGATGAGGTCTTGCCAAATTGCCCAGGCGGGTCTCGAACCCACGGGCTCAGGCAATCCACTCACCTTATTGCCATTTTAGAAAAGGCAAAAGTATAGTGCCCAAGAGACAGGTAATTGTCTGTCATAAATCATCATAGGCTGGGAGTAAGGGGATAAGGAATTAACAACAAAAAGTACAGTGGAATTTTTTCAGGTAAATGTTATTTATCTTAATTGTGTTGATGGTTACACAACTGTATACATTTTTCAAAGCTCAAGCTATACAGTCTAACTTGGTGAATTTTAGTTAGAAATCGTACACTCTCTGTACTGGAAAGGTGAACTGCATGCCCACATTAAAGTGACTTGGAAACCATGGTAAACTGGAATGGGGACATAAAGGAAGAGCCTGAGTTATTAAGGAAGGCTGAAATCTCCAGGCTCTTCTCAATACCCCTTTCAAAAATGGAGGTGAAAATTCTTCCACGACAAAGCAACTGACAGGAATGAAACCTAGAGACTTAGGCCAGGTGACATTGTCTCATCTAGCTATATATTTTTTCCATCCGTATATATGAAGCAGGAGCAGAGACAGAAACAGAAGCAGAGTTAGGTTCCTTTGTAAAATCGGCAGAACTTCTAAAGTTGCTACAAAGACAAAAGTCCCATGACACTTAAAATTGCCTTAGCCAACCAAAAGTTCTCAAAATAGTTTACTTAGACTTTTAAAGGAGTTATACTGACAGAAAAATGTCTGAAAAGTGTCCGTGATGTCAACTGCTAAGCAATCCTCAGATTCATATGTGCTAAGGGAACTGAGCTGCCCGCAGGGGAATCCTCTCCAATAACACCTCAGAGGTGGGCCAGGCAAACAATGGACAAGGAAAATTTCATTAGTAGAAACTGGAGACACTCTGGAATAAGGTAACCAATTAAATCAATCCATTAGTAGGAAGTGAATTAATAGAAAAATGTGCCTATGTGTTAACTTTGCTACCCTTGTGCAGCAGGATGTAGTATATACTCTGAACCAGTGATAGCTGTCTTACTTCCTTTTTTGCCTTTCCTTGAACTGGCAGTTTGACTTGAAGTTATTCCTTTTTTTGTCTCTAGTTCTTTATATGAGACATGTCAGATCCAGTTGGCCCTGCCGATCTGTGGGTTCTATATCTGTGGATTCAACCAACTGCAGATTGAAAATACTGTATTCAAAAAAAGAACTGTGTCTGTACTGAACATACACAGACTTTTTTCTGTCATTATTCCCAAACAATACAATGTAACAACTATTTACATAGCATTTGCATAGTAATCAACATTATACATAATCTAGAGATAATTTAAAGTATATGGGAGGATGTGCATATGTTAAATGAAAATACTATACCTTTTTATATCAGGGACTTGAGCATCCTTGGATTTTGCTAAGTGCAGGAGATCCTGGAACCAATATCCCACAAATACTGAGGGACAACTGTATTTCTCTATTTTTATTTGGCCTACAGGCCGAAGTGACATCTATACCTGACTGAGGGGAATGGACACAACCAACGAATCTTAGCATTGGAGGCGGAAGCTGCTGCTGGACATGTCATGCTGCAAAGAGATGAGTACGTTTGTGGCTGTAAATGGAAAATTGCACTATGTTTGGCAAAAACATTGTTCAGTATGTGGAGAAGGATGTGTATGTCCAATGGGAACAAAGAAATGAATACCTATTGCTTTGTCTGCCAAGAAGAACTCTCTTTCTCTGAGACTGGTATCGCATTCTTTCTTTCCTCTTGTCATTACAAGCTAATGGTTGCTGTCAATCACAGTATTACATCCCCTCAGTCAGAAAAGTCAGAATCCTGTCCCAGATTACACTAGATTAGAGATTAGGGAAGGAGAGTCTTCTCTGGTGTCAAAATTAAACACATGATCTTAAGTGCTGTTAATAACCATGTATAAAGAGCCCTGTTTTCAAAGAATAATGCTGACATGAAAAATGATGCAGAGACAGAAATGGAGAGTGTGTCCTGATGGCATCCTTCACCTTCAGGGGTACTCCTTTCCTAAGACAGCTTAACTTGCTGTCACTTGTAACTGTATAAATCCTGACACAATGTTGTTAGATAAAATTAAGTAATCTAGTAAGCTAGCAGATAATGTACACAGGAAATATGGAGAAGACACTCCTAAAAAACTGGGAAATATTAAGAAACTTGCTTAGCTTTATAAGTCAGTGGCAAAGCCACTCTGGTGCAATGTGTTTCTTAACTCCAAGCTAATAGAATATGATAGCACATTAAGAAAAAGTACCCAGCCACAGATGGAAACAGTGGTACTATCCATCTCTTCACTCCACTGATAATTTTGAGCAAACATGTCACCTTATCATACCCTGTTCAACTATATCAAATTGTTATTTCACTCTAAAGACGACATAAATAAAACAGAAAATGATAAATAACACAATACTTACTCTTCTTTCCATCCATATCTGCATGAATTTTCCGAGCCAGGAATCCACTTTTGTACACAGAAGCATTTGGGTCATGAGGAATGTCCAAAAATGGGTTGGTAGTACTCCCGATACGACTGATGGTCTTTGGATGTGTTCCATTAGCCTTCTCATCAGTACCTTCTGAGGGAGATTTTTTTTTCTCTTCATCATCTCTAGAAGGGAGAAAACACAAAGACTGAGCCAAGCATGTACCACAATATTCAAAGAAAAAAGCTATGTAGTATATAAAACTACCTTGTAATCTAATGGCCTATTACTCTTAATAACCACCATGTTAATGTTACCATTTACATGTATTAAATGTCTTCTTTGCGACAGGTATCAATGATCATGACAATCTTGTAAGACTGATATTGGCATCCTCTATTACAGATAAATTTGGTGAGTATAAATATTCAAGGCCACAAATTAAAATAGGGCATGATTATAAAAACTCTAAGGCATCTGCTCTACTCTTTCCAACCATTACAATGCTTTCATGTTTGTCTTCTTTCAAACAAGTGGGAGTTTGTTGGCAGGGATCATAATTTTTGACTTATATATTTCTGCATGGCCTAAAATAGGGCTCGGTGTACAGAAAACAACAAATAGTAATGAATTGAGCCCAAAGAATAGCAGTGAACTGTATCTACCAAAGAACCAGGCTAATCCCTAATATCAAAACTTCAGTAAGGCTACCATGGATTAGGATGGGGGTGCCACACACAGTATTTTGGCATGTTATAGCTGCTACTTTCCCAAACACCAAAAAAGTGTGGTGCATCCCATCGGCTGCTGAAAATACCCCTAACTGCCCATCCTCCTTTTCTGAACTTTTCCTTCAGGCACAATAAATTTAAATCTGAGACATAATGTACATTAGATATGGAGGAGGCAGAAAGTGGATGGTCATATTCAGTTAATAAAGAGAGGAAGAAAAAGCAGAGGACAGTTAATAAGCTCTGAAGTTAATAAGCTGGAGAACAAGACACCATCATAAGACTGTCTTAGCTCAGCTGTTCTAATTTCCTCAGTAACCTCTAAGTTCATTGTTTATTAAACTTTGAATATTGAATCTTCGTATAAGAAACTCAACCAAAATCAACAAAATATATTTCAAAAAAATCACAAAATTATTATCAGTGTTTGATGATGATGGTGATAAAAGAAAAACAGTCTTTTTCTCCACTGGTATTTTATAAGTAATTGAGAGATATATGAAAATAAAACTAGACTCATAGAAATCAGTATTTTACTTTTATTTTGAAAGAATTTTAGACTTGCAAAGGTAGTACATAGAGTGCTTACATTTCCAGCTTCCCCTGACTTTAGCATCTTATATAACAATAGTAAAATTTTCAAAACCAAAAATTAACATAAGTTCAGTACTATGAATTAAACTCAGATTTTTATTTATTTATTTTTCTATTCCAGGATCCTACAGTGCATTTAGTGGTCATGTCTCCTCAGTCTCCTCCAGTCTGTAAGAGTTCTTCATTCTTTCTTGTCCTTTGAGACCTTGACACATTGAAGAGTACTGTTCAGTTATCTTATAGAAATATCCTCAATTTAAGCCTGTGTGATGTTTTCTCATGATTCAATTGAGGTTATGCATTTTTGGGAAAGGACAACACACAGGTGATACACCCATCTCAGTGTATCAGATCCAGGGGATACAGATTTTATTACTCATGATATTAACCATAATCATTGGGTTAAGGTAGTGTCTGACAGGTTTCTATACTATGAAGTTACATTTAACTTTATAGTGTTTGGGGGTGATATTTTTAAATTATGCAAATATCCTGTTTCTCCTTTACCTCTTTGCCCACTAACTTGAACATTCTACATTCATTAATTGAAATTCTTCTGTAAGTATGGACACATGGATATATGTTTTATTCTTTGGATTGTAATGAAAATACTATCACTAATTTGTTGCCTACATTTTCTAGCTTTGGCCATTGAGAATTCTAACCAGGTACAGTTCTATGTTTTTTGAACATGACTCAGCTTTTTCAGGTGCTACAAGATCCCTCCAAGCTGATCTTGAATTTTCCTTGTCCCAGTCCTGATATCAACCACTTCTCCCTGGTGCCCTACTTCTTTTGATTGGAGAATGGTATTTGGAAACCAATTCTAGGTGCTAGGTGCGCTCATTGCTTCAAGGTCCTATGAAAAGACAGAGCTAGAGAGATATAGTCACGTGCTGCATAACAGTGTTTTGGTCAACCACAGACAGCACTATAATGATGCAGAAACATTTTTATTGTCTAGTATTTAGTATACTATACTTTTCAGCATTAGAGTACTTTTACTTATAAAAAAACAAAAAGTTAAACAGCCTCAGGCAGGTCCTTCAGGAAGTTTTCTAGAAGAAGGCATTGTTTTTGTTTTGTTTTTTTGAGTTGTAGTCTCACTATGTCGCCCAGACTGGAATGCAGTGGCATGCTCCTGGCCACCGCAGCCTCGACCTGCTGGGCTCCGGCGATCTTTCCACCTCAGCCTTCCAAGTAGGTGGAACTACAAGCGCATGCTACCACGCCCAGCTAATTTTTTTGATTTATTTGAGATGAGGTCTCGCCAAGTTGCCCGGGCGGGTCTCGAACCCATGGGCTCAAGCAATCCACTCTCCTCAGCTTCCCAAAGCACGAGATTACAGGCTGAGCCATGGAGTCCGGCTGAAGAAGGCATTGTTAGCATAGGAGCTGACAGCTCCATATGTGCTATTGCCCATGAAAACCTTCCAGTGGGTTAAGATGTGGAGGTGGAAGAAGGTGATATTGAGGATATTGACCCTGTGTGGGCCCAGGCTAATGTATGTATTTGTGTCTTAGTTCTTAAACAAAAAAGTTTTTTAAAGGTAAAAGAATTAAATAAATAAAATTTTATTTTATTTTAAAGATGTGAGATACAATTCAGGGTTAAGTATACAAGTGGTCATTGTACAGGTAAAGTTTGGGCCTTCTCCCTTTGGTCCCCACTTCACTTGGCTTGTGGTCAGGTACCTTTACTGATGTTGCATGCCCCCACCTTCCCCTGGCAGTTTCTCACGACTGCCAATCCCTTTCTTATAGTATTATAATAAATGTTCAGGGTCCAATTATGAAAAAAAATTTAAGTAGAAAAAAAGCTTATAGAATAAGGACAGAAAGAAAGAAAATATTTTTGTACAGCAACGTGTGCTTTAGGCTAAGTGTTTTAATAGAAGAGTAGAAAAGTACAAAGAATTTAAAAGTTTATAAAATAAAAGTTATAGTAAGCTAAGACGAATTTATAATTTAAAAATCGTAAATAAATGCAGTGCAGCCTACGTGTACAGTGCTTATGAAGTCTACAGAAGTGTACAGCGATGTGCTAGGCCTGAACATCCACTCACTCACCACTCACTGACTCACCCAGAGCAATTTTCAGTCCTGCAAGTTCCAATCATGGTAAGTGCCCTAAACTGTACAATTTTTAATCTTGTATACATATTTGTTACTGTGCCTTTTCTATATTTAGACATATTTAGATACATAAAGACTATTGTCTTACACCTGCCTATAGAATTTAGTATAGTAACATGCTTTACAGGTTTATGGTCCAGGACCAACAGGCCAGACCATATAGCCTAGGTATATAGTAGCCCATACCACTTAGGTTTGCGTAGATACTCTACAGTGTTCACACAATGATCAAATCACCTAATGATACATTTCTCAGAACATATCACCATCATTAAGTAACATATGACTGGATATATAAGTATCGCCATGTGTAACACACATTTATATTTATTTGTGTGTCTGTCCATCCATCCCTATAAATTCATACTGACACTTCCAAATCCAAGCCAGTACAATGAGGTTCACTCCAGTAGTCTCTCTTTGCTTATTCATAGTTCTTCAACAGTGAGAAGCCTGGCTCTCATGACCTATAATATGTTTATTTGTCCAATCCTAGTAAAAGTATAAATTACTTGCAGAATTGTTAGCCCGTGCCTATGTGATTTATCTACAAGAGCCCAGGCCCAGTGTTTGTGTATAGTACTTCTGTCTTATAATATTCAGTCAAAACACTTTACCAAAGTTATTGGGTAAGCTCCAATTTTCTTTACCATCTTAACAATGATTATGTGAAAAACAAACTCCTTTGTTATAGGCTGAATTCCATCTTGCATTTCCCATATCCTGACTGATTTTTTAAAAATACAGTGAGTTCCCTACATATGAACCTTCAAAGATGTGAACTTTCAAAGATGTGAATGTGTCTTTGCATGCCCAATCACATAAGTTAATTCACATGTCTGGTATACATTGTCATGTGAGGGCATCCTCTACAAGTGGTTGTGCTTTTGTGTACTTTACTGTACAGTACTGTATAGAGTATAGTAGTACAGCATCTTTATTTCAAGTCCAGGATTCCATAAAAGCAGCAGTGATGTAGCTGGTACTGTATAGCAAATTGTGTTAGTTGGGAACCAAGGCTAACTTTGTTGGACTTACAAACAAATTGGACTTACAAATGGCTCTCGGAATGGAACTCATTCATATGTAGGGGACTTACTATAAGCATTTTGAAAAAAGCAACCATTGTGATGTGCAGTTTTAAGGATTTAGATAATGTACAGAGTCATATATCTACTACAATATAAAACAAAACAGTCCTATCACCCCCATAACTCCCCCGTGTTGCTCTCTTACTTAACTCTTCTCAACCAATCCCTGGCAACTGTCTTCCATTTTGATAGTTTTGCCTTTTCTAGAATGGTATATCAAATAGTTTTTTTCACTTGGCAAAATGCATTCAAGATTCATCCAAACTGTTATATGAATCATTTGTTTGTTCCTGCTATTGCAGAATACTATTTTCATTTTTATGGTTATATCGGTTTTTCTACTGAAAGACATCAAGGGTTGTTTATAATTTCGGTATTTTATTTCTATTATGAAAAATTATTTGTGACTGTGACCAACACTATGATAATATAAAAATACAATACTATCAGTCACTCATAGATTAGAGCCAATTAAGGTTTCTACCCTTCAAATAGATTATTATATTATCATCACTAAGATTCAGTACTGTAATAGCCTATAGCTAACATCATACTCAACAGTGAAAGGCTGAATGCTTTTCCTCTAAGACCAGGGAAATGCACTCTCTCGCCACCTCTGTTCAACATAGTTCT